CACTTCCATTTTTTCCTATCGCGTGCAGGAGTGGCCCAATGGGTCCTCCTCGCTCTAGGGATTCGCTGAGCATTATATCATTCTTCTATAGCTTTCGTGAAGGAACCGGATTAACGGGTCGGTGGTCTCCTTGTAGGACGCTTGATCTCCCGAGAAAAACCAGTCGGTAACGCTCTCGCCCATCGGTTGCCGTTGAAGCGCATCACGTGTCCGGCCCACCTTATTTTCGATATCTTGGTGTGTAGAACGGCGTCTTTGATTTTCGATTGTTGACGTAGGTCGGAACTTCGGATCATTTCTCTCATTTGCGAGATACAGGATACTCCTAGCATCGACCTTTCGACTGCGCGTTCAATACCGCCATGTGATTTTTCATTCTGAGTACGTATCAGCTAGGTCTTTGCTGCATAAGTTAGGGCAGCGGTAATCGTAAGGTCCAAAAAGTGGGCACGGAGGCGGATGTTCTTAGTCCTCTTCACTACATCTTCGGTGCTCTTAATACACTTATATGTGCATACACATATATATGTGCATATATATATACACATGTATATATATATGTGATTTCAGCACCCGTGAAAATCCCTATCTCTTTGTAAAAATAACGCGCTCTATTGTATCAATTCGCGCGGATTTGAAAGGGCTATTGAGTGATGAACGTGCTTATGCATCTTTTTCCGTATCTCGACTCGTCTGCAAACATCGATCGAGTAATTAGTGAGCTCTTTCCTTATCTCAGCCGATCGCTATTGTGATTTGATGATAAATTTGTGTGTTTTCGTCAGCGATTTCCTCAAGTGTGATGGCAAAACAGACGTCAGTAGCGCAACGGGTTAGAGCACGCGCCGCCGAGAAAGGGTGAAGTGCGAGTTCGAGTCCCGCCTGACGTCAAAATTTTGCACATCACTCAATATCACTGGGTATATCTCCTCAAATGTTATAGAGATAATCACTTGGTGTTCTAATGTTCGTCGCGATGCCGACGAGAATGAAATTGGTTGATGTGAGCGATTCTCTACTTGACGATTCTCTTGCCGAATCGAGCACAGCAGCTGATGAGGATGTTGACGAATCTATTCTCGACCAAGAGATGGACGTTGATGAAGCGTCGGAAGATGTTCAGTCAGACACGCAGTCTGACACTGTACATTTCCACATTTTCTTCTTACATTTCCTTCGTACCTTCGTCACTTGGTTCTTTTCCGTTAAACGCCGCCACGAGATGAAGAAACGCGCCTTCTCACTGGATAAGAACTTTTCGTAAGAGTGTTAGTAATCATTCAAAAGTTTGAATCTCCGGCTAGTGCTTTACGTGCTCCTTTCTTAAAACACC